GTGGGGTACAGCTCACTCGTGTAGAGGTAGACACAGTTAAAGGAGGCAGCAAGACAGCCTTTTCCAACGACAGCCAGAACAGTGCGCAGGGTCTTCATATCTTGGGATTAGCACACAATGGAGGAGGGTTAAACACGTGGCAAAAGGCTGAAATGCTCAAGAAGGGTCAGGAGTCAGTGGGATGTATTCCCAGCCACTGGTGCTGATGGGGCCAGATCCCCAGCTGGTGTAAATTAGCATAGCTGCACTGGAATCAATGAGGCCAAATCCCCAGCTGCTCCATTGAAGCCAAAAGGGGCAAGAAATCAATGGAGCTGGGCTAATTGACACCAGCTGAGGATCTGTGCCTCGGTTTGCCATCTAGAAATAAGAGTGATAGTCCTTTCTGTGTTGTGTCTATTTAGATTGTGAGTTCTTTGGGGCAGGGCCTGTCTCTCCCTTTAAGTCTGTGCAGTACTCAGCACAATGGGACCCTGATGTCATCTGGGGTCTGTGCAGCACCTCGCCCAATGATCAAATACTAATAACCATCTACCCAGATTGGTTTGTGAAACTGGGTCAGTCACCCATCCCAGACAGCAGCTCATCCACTTTGCAACCATCTTGCAACAGGCCAGCCTGGATCAGACTGAATATGTCTCTCAGGTTGCTTCATGGGGAAGTGCCAGGGCAACTGGTGTCGTAAACACGTGTCAGCTGCTTCAATCCCTGGCAGCAGCAGGTGGTTCTGTACCCTGCAGTACCTCAGCCACAGAACACAGCTGTGACATATCCGTGGGTTTGAGCCCCATTAGCCCTTATGGATCAGCTCTCCTGGCTCTTCTCCCTCCCCTGCAGCTGACCATATCAGCCAGGCTTTGGACCTTTGGTAGGACAAAGGATTGAACACTTCCGGATCTAACCCTGAAAATCCAGCACACCAAGTAACCACCTTGTGGCACAAAGATGTTGGCTAGGATAGAGAGTCCAGCCAGGATGAGGGTCAAGGTCTGTGTGACCCGGCGCCCGATGAAGCCGATTGTGAGGACTGAGATGAACTTTGCTGGGAAATCAACAGCTCCAAAGACCAGCTGGATCAAGAAGATATTGACACCGAAATTCTGCAGGTCCATGGCCAACCCATAATAGGCAAAGCTGCTGGAGAACCTGGGATGAAGCAGACAGGTATTGATGCATAGAGAGTCCTTATCATTGAGTTTATTTGTTACAAGTGTGTTCCCTTTCAGTAATAGGCCCTGCAAATGTGGGTAGACTGCACTAGTGGGTAGACTGCACTGTGTTCTGTTCATGGCTGTGAGAGGGGATTAGGGTCCAGTGAGTTAGACTGGGGAGCAGCTGGGAGCCAGAACTCCTGAGTTCTATTTCCAGCTTTGGAAGAAGTGGGACCTAGTGGTTAGAGCAAGAGGGGACTGCTGCTGTTGTTAACTCTCAGAGGAATGGGGGCACCAAGGATTCCTGGCTTCTTTTCCCAGCTCTGCACATGGAATGTGTCCTAGGACTAGGAATAGGTGACTATAGGAGCCAGGACTCCTGAGTCCTATTCCTGCTTCTGTGTAGAATCACCTCCTGATGGTTTTCTCTACATGATGTCTCCCAGGTGGGATTTACCGAAGTCTAGCTATAACATACTGAATTGTGATCTAGTGGGATATTCAATCAAGGTGAAATTGACTGTCACTGACATGCCATGGGATGAAGTGGAGCGTCAGTGGGGCTTAGTAGAGGTGAGCAAAATTTTTCATCTACAACTTTTTTCAGCAGAAAGTGCAGACTCAATGACATCAAAATGCTTAGGGAATTCATGTTCCTTTGGCTGAATTGTTTCAGATAAAGAAAAAAGCCCCACAAAACAAAAACAAAACAAAACAAAACAAAATCTAAATGTTTTCAGTTTTGGTTCAAAATTAATGTTTGTCTCAAACATTTCTTTAATTTTATTTTAAAAAATCTTAAAATATTTAAAATCAAAACAAAATGTTTCACTTGATTTTTTTTTCAACTTTTTGATTAGTCAAAAATTAAGAAAAAAATGGTTTTCTATTCAACGCAAAATGATTTTTTGTACAGATTTTTCGGAATTGCCTGCGGGTCAGACAATCCATTATTTGCCCCATTCCTCAGCAAATAGTCGTGCCTGGTTTACTTGCTGGAGGCTGCTTCATGTCATAGTCTCAGCTTCCTCTTGTGCAAGCACAAGAGCCAACTAACCATACAAAGCAGAGGCAGAAGGAGATCCGGCGTACGACAGGGGTCCGCACCAGGTCGATGAAGGTATAGCTGCTCTTTGCAGAGGCTATTTCTTTCTGCATGTTGGATCTCAAGACCTGGGGAGAGAAGAGAATTCTGGGTAATGGCATGGGGCCTCCATGGTGGGAAAGGCCTGGAAACAGAGCAGGGGAATGGGAGGGAATGAGATTCTGGATCATCCAGTGGTGCCAAAATTCTAGTTTCAGAGAAGGCCTCAGTCTAGACAAAATAATGTGTATGTGTAGGAAGGGATGGATCGATGGATAGAGAGAAGGGTGTGCATGGGGATGGATGGATAGTTGGATGGATAGAAGCATTTGTAGGGGGATAGATGGATAGAGAGGTGTCTGGGGGGATGAAAGATAGATGGAGATGACTAGAGAGATTATGTGTATGAGTATATGTTTATAATAGATGGATACATAGATGGCTGGATAGGTGGTTAAATATGTACGACTATAGGTAGAGAGATTGATAGAAGATACCTTGTACGTATGGGAATCCCATTGTATGAGAAAGAAGTGAGACCATGGTGAGAATTCCATTGCTCAGGGAACACTAAAGCTAGTTGCGCCACTGGTGTACATGTGCAGAGTCCCCATGACATGAGTGCAACCACACTGATTTATATCTGCTTGTCTTGCGTGCCTATATCGGCCGCTGGAGTTGGTGGGAGCTCTCAGCCTCTCTGAGATCCAGTCTTACCTCTGTGTTAAGTTTGTCTCCTTCTTCCTTCTTCCGGTTTATCCGGGCCACTCTCTGGAGCTGCTTCACTGCCTCGTCGGGTCTGCCGGCTATTACCAGCCAGCGGGCAGACTCCACGAACCACCTGGGAAGCAGAAGATATGAAAACACACCTGCACAGAACACGCGCATTGCTCTTGTTGAACTGGGATCAGCTCCACTGGAGCACGGTGCTGTTCTTCTACACTAGGGGCAGTGCCCAAAGCCAGTGCAGGGCACAAGCAATGACAGAGGCAGCAGGGAGCATGTTGTGGAATAGCCTCCGTGGAACCTGCATTCTCTGGTCTATCTCCTCCCCCCGCTGCCTGCAGCCCCCTGGTGACAGCCAAGTGTTACTGCAACTTGAAGCTCCATTCCCGTCAGGAGACTGCCCAGTGGCAGCAGGTGGTATTGCACCTTGCCATGCATAAGGAAGGAAGGATGGTGATAGGGTGATAGCCGAGACCTGGCTTCAATTCCTTGCTCCCCTGCAGACTTCTTGTGCGACCATTGCTAGTCAGTCTTTCTCTGTGTCTGAATCCCCTCATCTGTACAATAGGGTAATAGCACTGCTCTCCCTCAGAAGGGTGTTGTGGTTACAGCTGGTCGGCACTGTTCTGCTGAAATATTTGTCCATTGAAAAATGCGGGTGTGTTCAAATTGAAACTGTTTGCAGGGAAAGGTCAGTTTCAATGAACCTCTTGATTTAAAAAAAAAAAGAACGTTTCAAAATTCGTCCTGTGTCAAAATTCAAAGTTTCAACAATTTTGTTTCAAAATTTTTGATCATTTACACTAAAAAAAGGGTAAAAAATAAACAAGCTCCAGATCAAAAAGAAAAATTTCAAAATTATCAAAAGGAAACATTTCAACTGACCCAACCGGAATATTTTTTCAGATTATCAATTCACAAAAGTTTTCCTGGTTTTGACTTTTGGCCAGATTCAGGATGGGAAAACTTTTCAAAGTCTCAAAGACTCTCATGTTTGTTGCCAGCCAGCTCTAGCTGTGAGGATAAATATATTAAACACTGTGGTGTGCCTAGATACTATGGTGATGGGTGCCAGATAAATACCCATGATAGGTCAGTTCCTCATATTACCTAGCAGTGACATTGTGGGTGGAGTAGAGCCCTCTTTGGTTTCACTGGAAATTTTTCACAATATTTTAAATTTTCTTCAACAGGACAAAAGTTTTCATTTTGCTTCCATTTTGGAAGGGTTTTTTTTATTTTTTTAATTTCCTCTCTTTTATTTCCTTTTGCTTTCATTTTTCCACTGGAAAATGGGGGAAAGTGGATAAAAATGGCTCCAAAACATTGAAATGAAAATTTTTGTTGTGTCAAAAAATTAACAAACTTAGAAAGAAATGGTTATTTTTCAGGAAACCCGCCCTTCCCCTGCAAATCCTGAAAATGAAAATAAAATGTTTGCTTTCGTTGCAAATTTTTGAAGGAATTTTTTTGGGGGAAAGCCATTTTTCATGGAAAACAAATTTAAGACATCAAATCTTCAATTCTCTCTATTCATACGTTATCCTCTTAGTCTTGCCATTTCCCTGGTTTGCTGAAACAATTCTAGGTATGAAATTCCACAGCTTTCATAGTTCTTTGTTCATTATTTGCATTACCGTAATGCCCTGAAGACCCAGTCATGGGGCAGAACCCCATTGTCCCAGGCACTGAATAAAAAGACAGTCGCTGCCCCATAGAGCTTATAATCTAAGGACAAGACAAGCAACAAAAGGTTGATACAAACAGGAGAGCACAAGGAAACAGTGAGACAATATTGGTTAGCATGATAGGCAATGGTCTCTGCACACGAGCAGCCTAACCGTCATCAGGTTTTTTTTTGAAGCCACACAGCAAGGGAGAGTTAGAAGAAGGACAACGAGGTACCTTTGCTGATGTTTACAGGGGAACTCCTCCCAGGTATGAGGGGCAGCATGATAGAATGCACAAAGGTGCTTGTTTGAAAATTTAGCAAGCGGGCAACGGAGGCAGGCATCCTGGGCCAATTGGAGTTGGGAGTCAGCATTGTGCTAGTGAATGACAGATGGGATAGGTATGGTGCAGTAGGGCGTGAACGGCTTTGAAAATGAAGATGAGTAGTTTATGTATGATGTGATGAAGAACAGGGAGCCAGTGGAGGGCTGCAAAGAGAGAGGTGACATGGACAAAGTGATGAGACAGGGAAATGATCTTTGCAGTAGTGTTTTGAATGGATGTAAGTGGAGGAAGATTGCATTTGCCAAGGCCGGAGAAGGGGATGTTGCAGTAATCGAGATGCAAGATTATGAGAACCAGGATAAGAGATTTGTTTATTCTACATGCTTAAAGTTTGCCTCATTCCTGCATCCAGTGAGAAAAGCAGGATGGAAGGGGAATGGATCAGAAAGGATAAGGGTGAGCTAACCTACCAGGAATAGATGAAGCAGATGAAATAGGGCAAAGACACCACAAGCTGCAGCCAGCGCCAATTGGGGATGGCGTAAGCCACCCCAGCCAGAATGAACTGCCCGATTGTGTAGCAGTATCCATACATGGTGCTCACAACGGCCCGTGTGCGGGTGGGGATCCATTCCACAGCTGGGGAGAGACACACACAAAGGGAAAATAATCTCTCTGTCCTTGGGCTGATGACCTCCAGTGGTGAGAACAAGCACGAGTGGAGGCAGCAGGAACATGTACAAACAGCCTTCCCCTGGCTCTTTGAGGCTGAGATGAAATAGCTCCCCAAAACCTGCATTCCCTGAGCCATGCCTCCTTCCCCTGCTAGTTGCATCCCACCTAGTGGTAGTAGGTGGTACTGCACCCTGCTGGAGGCGCTCCATTCCCCCTCACCATGGCAGCAGCCAGTACTGCACCCTGCAGGGTTGCAGGAGCTCGAACACCCCACAATGGCACACTTATGCACCCTGAAGTACATCAGCCACAATACACAGCTGTTATGTAATTGAATAAGTTGAGTCCCATTAGCCTCTGACACCCAACTGCTCCTGGGTCCTTCAGTTCCTAGAGGACCTGTATACATTGAATAGTGCAAAGGACTTTCTAGTAATGAGGAGGGCATTCTGTAGCTCCTGGCTGATGCACATGGCCTGTGCCTGTTCTGTAGAAGATGAATTGTGGAATCTCTGTTCTCCTGTGAGTCATCGTCATCTGATGACGGCACTCCACTCTAAATAGCTTCCATTCCATTCTTGGGGACTGTAGGGGTTTGGCCGATCCCCCTCCAGGGCGGCTGGGAACTAGGCCACCTCACTACAGGGACCTGCATGCTATTGGAAGCTGCCGTGTTTTGTGGCTCTCAGGCAGGGGCTGAGGAGACAAATAGGTTTAGGAAACCCACGTCCTGGCTCCGAAGGACCTGAGAGAGGGGGCAACTGCCACCCGCATGTCGGGTGGCAGGGGGGACGCAGGCCCACCCACTCCACTGCGTCCCAGCCTGGGGCCCTAGCAGCGGCAGAAGACCCGTTGCTGTGTCAGTGGGGATCCTGACTGCAACAAACTGACATCGGCTCTGGGTGTGCTGCAGGCGGACTAGGGTCGGCTGCCCCGGGCTACTTCCTACCTCCCCCTCTAGAGGTACTTGCATCTGGACAGAGTCTTCGAAGGAGTCAAGCACCATGGGCTCCTCTAGGTACCCGGCGGGCGGTAGGCTTGGCAGCTCCTCTGGGTAACTTGCCACAGACGAGTTTACCAGCTTCTCCGGGGTCTGGTCGGTATCTGGCCAGTCCTCGGGTCGGCCGCAAACTGCAGGAGTCTCCCAACTTGGAGCTAGGCCACAGGCGTCTGGCTTCTCTGGTGTCCGGGCCTCTAGTGAACTCTGGGCAGTGCTTCTATATCGTGATACCAACTTTTCCCAACCTAGTGCTAAAATTTTCCCAAATCTGGTGGAAAAATTCCCAGGTAAAGCTTTTTACAGTGCTTCTATAACCTGGGAACTTTCCCAAAACTTGGGAATTTGTGAGTAAAATGTTTCAACTTGGGAAATTGGGAATTTTCATTCAAAACATTTTACTCAAAAATTCCCAGATTTTGGGAAATTTCCCAAGATATAGAAGCACTGGCTCTGGGGTTGGGCTTTTGTACTTTCTGTCCTGCACCCTGACCTCTGGGGGCGGGGAGGGGGCGCAAGCTCCACTGGCTCCACCCACTTTGGTGTCTGGAGGGGCTCTTCCCCCTCCGGGGTGGCTGGGAACCAGGCCGCCTTACTACAGGGACCTGTATGCTATTGGAAACTGTCCTGTTTTGTGGCATCTCCTGTGCTCTGGCGCTGCAGAAGCACATGGAGGTGGGATTGTTCCAGAGAACTCAGTTCTCGTTTAGGTACCACATTTTCAGAAGAGGACAGGCCCAGATTTCAAGGTGCAAAATACCTCCTAAATAATGTGCTCAGGTCTTTGTCAGCTGCGGCAATCTGTGTCCCAAAGGGAGCTGCTGAGTGCTTTGGTAAATCCAGGTTGGAATGGGACCTAGGACTTTTGGAAAATCTAGCTCCCGATTTTTGGTGCTGAGACCTTGGACATCCCACCCATGCAGTGTGTGCTTCTGGTCTCTCTGTGCTCCCACCGCAGAGTAATTTATCAGCAGTGGGAACAAGGCACCTCCGTCCATCCCAGTAACCAGCTCATCTTGTGTCTGGGATGGCAGGCGCCAGACACACTTACACAGAGAGACACCGTTCATCACAATGGCCGAGAAGGCCATTCCGGACAGGAAACGGAAGATGCAGTAGGCAGTGAAGCTGGGCGAGAAGGCAGTGCAGGTGCTCGTGACAGCCATCTGCAAGTAGCACCAGATCA